GAGGGGCATTGAGAAGACCGCCCCCCCCGCCCCCCCCCAGCTATCGGAACAGGACACAAGGGCAGCAGCCAGAGGAAGATGGCAGGGTGACCCCTTCAGGCAGAGAGCCTATATGTGCAGGGCTGGGGCCCTCCCGGGCTCTTGGAGCTGCAGGTGCCCCTGTGACTGGCGCGCAGAGAGGTGGAGGTGAGAGGGAGCCCTCGGGTGACTTGGGACCACGGTGGCATCTCATGTAGACGGTCTGTGGCATGGTCACATGTGGGTCCTGACGCTCTCTTCAGACACAGGAGTAGAGCGAGTCTTCTGGAGGCATCCAGGTGAGGAAGGTGTTCTACACCAAGGCAGCAGGGCGTGAGCTCAGAATGAGAACTAGGCACGGGCTGGGGAAGGAAAAGCTTCACCAAAACAGAGGCCGCTTCGGGTCCGCATGGGCTGGTCCTGGTGCCAAAGGCAGGGGGAGCTTTGAGATGCTCCTCGCATGACCAGACACTGCAGAGAGTGAAGGAGTCCCAGCAGAGGCACAGATGGTGGACAAGCACACGAATCCATGCTAAGTTCCGTTGTCTGAAATGCTCAGCCCTGCAGTTGTGTTCGATCCCGTCTGCTGGAAAGTGATACATGGTGTGCAGAAATATGCGTTGAAATGTTTTGACCAGGGGCGCCTGGGTGGCTGAGTCGTTAAGCGTCTGCCTTCAACTCAGGTCATGATCCCAGGGTCCTGGGATCGAGCGCCGCGTCGGGCTCCCTGCTCGGTGGGAAGCCTGCTTCTCCCTCTCCCTCTGCTGCTCCCCCTGCTCGTGTGCTCTCTCTCAAATAAATAAAATAAAATCTTAAAAAAAGGGAAATGTTTTGACCAACGATGGCTATTCTTTTAAATCAAGTCAGTAAACATCTCTTAAAATTTGTTTTTCCCTGCAGTTGTTTAACAATTTGACACGCTTGTAAGCATGTTGATAGTTGAACTATTATTCATTTGGGTAGGTTTCTCAGACTAGCAATTCTTCAGCAATCTCAATACTAAACATCAAGGTCTTTGTTCAACTGTTGAAGAGCATTTTGTTCTGTAACCCATATCTCCCATGAATATAGTGTGACAGTGTCCAAAGATGACGATTTTCCCGCTGGACTCCCATCTGCTCTGCCCCCGCCCTGCCCCCACCCCCATCCCTGCATTGCTCTCAGATGTCCTTGTTTCATCGCAAGGGTCTCTCACTTAAGCCCTCATACGAGCCTTGGTGCCCACTGGATGGTGGCAGTCCCTGGCTCCCCCTCCTGTCCTCTGGCTCAGACGATGTCTTCTGTTGTCACGGTGTCCCAAAGGGTGGCCAGGGGCTCCGTGCGCGGCCCTGCTCCACAGGAGGGCTGGCGCTTCCGTCTGCTGGTGGGAACCTCCTGTCAGGGTGTTGTGGCTGAGCCATGCGCACTGAAGTCACCTTCCCTGAAGCTTCCGTCTTGTCCCCATCATGGCTTGGTGCTGTGCATATTTGTTGATGCTTGGCTCTCTGCAGGGCAGGAAGACCCCCGAGTCACTGAAGTTGAATTTCCCACCAGCTGGGAACTGTGGTCACCAGGTCCAAATTAGCTTGACTTTTGTAGTGAAGACACGCAAATTTTCTTGCACACTTAAATCTGTGAGATGTTCATTTGTTAGAATGCCTGCTGTTTGCAGTATAGACTGCTTCTCTCTCTCTCCCTCTCTCTCCCTCTCTCCCTC